ATGTATTCAAGCACTTGTATGCCAAATTTCATTAAAATCGGTTTTATAACCGATTCATGGTGACCCAGCATCCTTTTACAGCCGCCATCTTGGTGACGTCATTACGGACGACCGAGGTCCTTAAAAATTGGGGTCTGGGCAGTTTTACGTTCAGGGACATCTATACTATGCTACCACCTCAAGTTGCATGTTCCCCGCCAGAACTGAAGTATTCTGCCACTTTATACAACCATACAACCACACTATATGCATTTTGGTCCCACAGGTGCGTTACATGAGAGTGTACTTTGACAGTCGCCGTTTACGTCAATATTGCGCAAACATTGTTATATTATATATAGAAATGAAGCGGAATTTGAAGCTCTACATGTTTGTTGCAGGTAAAATCTGCATTTACTCAATAATAATGGCGAAAACCCCAAAAAAGTTAGAATATGTCTACTTTTATTTACATATTTTACAATTTAATTTGTTTTTTCACTATTAAACGTCATATTACTATTATTTAATATGATATTTTCTTGTAGATAATATTATGGCGAAGAATTTAAGACTAACTAGACTTTTCTAGATGGAGTGGTTTGGGAACAATAAGTTTTTAAGTGGAACCTTGCAGGGTTTATAGATTGTCCGCCATTTTCCAAGATGGCGGATTTTGCTACAGTGGGAAAAGTTGGGAATTTTCACAACATGTTAAGGGAAGAATCCCTAACACATTTCAGTTGGTTTTGCTTTGTTATTAATTTTGCCGAGGTCAGGCCTAGTTTTATGCTACTGGTCTTAGACTAATGATAACAATGGTATTTAAACATGCACGTATTTCTTGGGTGGACACAAATTTTACAACTTTAGCCAATCCTCATTTCCCCTAACAACAGTTTTGTAACAGGCCAACAGGCCAAGAAACTGATGACGTACTGGAGAAAAGTTGAGCTAATTTTTAAAAACCTTAGTGCGTTTCGTTATGAAACTCTCGTTTGGACGAAACCCTCTGCCTGGCTCGAAAATCAGTACACCCCTTTCTGGCCTTTCCCCAAAAGGACCAGTAAAGTGAGTTTTTAGTAAAGTTACCCAATTCATGCACCAGCCGTTTTCTTGGTCAATACTGTGGTCGGGTGAAGCCTACCTACTTCAGTTACACTGCCTGGGTGGCCTACTGGCCGTATATGGAAACAACATGAACCAGCTGTGCAATCGGAACATGAATCAGCTGTGCTGCCCCCAACATTCAACATCCAACCAAGCCTCTGGTATATTGGAGTAGGAAACAAACATAAACGAACTGATGGTGGCTCCTCCAAAGATTAAACATGTTCGAATGTAGATTATCCTTTAATATCAGCTGAAGAAAATGTAAAAGTATGTTTATTGTACCCTTGAGCGCGTGATGACTTTAATTTGTTTATAGGTTACCGACAACACTTTAGTCTCAAAGGATCTGAGGGAGAGAAAAATGTATCTTTAATCTGCTGCAAAAAATCGTATCATCATCATTACTATAAGCTAAGATCACCAACGACCATCTCATCAGTAAACGAATCACTATGTCACCACTCAGCTATACTTTTATTATATACACATAACACAAACAGCACACCAACAAAATCAAAATGTGACATTTAAGGCTCTGATAACACTAGACTTGATTATTATTCCATCACAGGGACAGAAGTGCTCGAAATCGATCAATGATCCGTTGATCTATTTACACTCTAAGGGACGAGCCTGTTCGTGTAGGCCACTCTGCTATATCTATGTAAATTCTGTAAGTGTTGAAACGCTCCCTGTGGTTGGATGGTTGGATACACCCATCACATCTCCGCTATAGTTGTGTTTACATCACTTAGTGTCTAGCCCGCAACATAGTTCGAGGTCAGTATAGTCAATTACTTGCACATTTTATGTTTAGTAAGATGAAATCTCTCACAGAAGGGCTATTTAGCCTCACATACATTGGACATGTTTCCTAACTTAACTCCAGTGTGTGTTGGAGTTGGATGGAATGGATTTAAGTGGTATTCCGTAGCTTCTATTATATGTAGTAGTTTGTAGCGGCTCGATTTGATCACTATCATGCCAGAGGACGTCACTGGTTCATAAAATCAAAAAGTCGTAAAATATTGTATAGGCATGTAAAAAGAAGACATAAACACGCTCAAGCCGTGTGCTCCCACTATCTCCGCGTTCCGCCACCTCCGAACCCAAATCTGTCCCGCCACCTCCGAACCCAAATCTGTCCCGCCACCTCCGAACCCAAATCTGTTCCGCCACCTCCGAATTCTTGAGTGACCCTTATAAAACCGCCACTGCCTGCGTTGTTAGCTGTCATTGCATCCACGGCTGCGAAGCCCCGTGGATGGAAGATTTAATGAAAATTTAACCCGTGGGTTAGATTAGGTTAGGTCAGGTCAGGTTAGGTTAGGTTAGGTTAGGTTAAGTTAGGTTAGGTTAGGTTAGGACGGAAAGTCTTAACGCAGGAAGTAACCAAGGATTATAGGGGTCACTCTGAAATTCGGAGGTAGCGGTACACGGAGGTGGCGGGACGCGGAGATAGCGGGAGGTCACCGCTCAAGCATTACCAGACAATAGACATAAACATATTTCGAAATTCGCTTGAAAGCTGATTCTCAAGGATTATAATTAGATTACCTTGTTTGTTTGATCCATGCTTTAACTAATTTTTACAAAACAGTCTCATCTATAGGCCTAAACTCTTGTTTGGCTTAGGCTTAGGCTATATGGAATCACATGCTGCAGCTGCGGTGCTCCCCCATGTCTGGGGAATTACTGGTCATTATTCATTAGTTCATAAATATCACAATATGAACTGATAAGATGTGGCGTGTCGAGCATATGGAATGGTTTGTCAATATAATAGTTGAAGCTCAACATTAACGACGTCAGTTTTATTGAGTTGTGTCAGTCACATGACGTAAGACGTCATAAACCAACTGATACACAACTGGATGACTCACAGATGCTCTTTACATTAGCTAAGGCTGCTCTCACTTTCTCTAATATGTAAAACAAACAATGGTTAATCAATTAATGGTTCTTAATATTACATTCAAGCTCACCATATTAATTTCGTCAAATATCTGTCAGAAAAGCGCATCTTTTCTCATGAACCTCAATTCACTTGATTTTTAACCGGTAACACATTTTTTACTGAACTAGAACGTCATCAGGTGTTAAAACATATAGTTTTAAATACTGGGTGTTTCAGTTTTATATTTTGGGTATGTGGATCAGAGCTGGCGGTTTTATGTTGTAATTACACAGATATTACCGTCTGACGTCATAAATTTAATGTTTGCAACGTCAACGTCAACAAGTTTGCAAAATCATTTTCGTTGAATGGTTGAGTTACTGTCATAATTTGACAGTGTGAAAAGTCCTACGACCTCATTATATGTGTACTCTATACTGTAATAGCAAAATCTTAATTTCTCTGTGCTACTACTCTAGTGATATGGCATTGAACTCGGAGAATTTTGCTTTGCACGTGCACGTGATATATTTGTCGTGTTTTAGCTAGTGATAAATGACACACAGTCAAGTCCAACGTTATCTATTTCTCGTGCGTGCCACTGACAAAGCACAGGCCAAGGCCGCTTTTGTTGCATTTGCGGCTTCTTTTCGTCTGACGAATTCCTGATAACCTAAACCGGAATAATATATCATTTCTGGGAAGTGGGAACCTAAGCAGTGGCGGTGATAAAAATTCCGCGCCCCTCCCCCAATAATCTATAAAACATTATCACAGGTATTTTCACCTAAGCTTGCACTTAATGGTCTTGGCATGGAATCTCCCGGGACACAGAGGCGTCATGATCGTCTTCCATCATCGCCGCAAAATCCTGAATATCTTCATAAGTCGCAGACATATTATCATTCCTCAGTGACAGGGACAAAATCATTAATACTTTCCACAGTCACAGAAACATTATCATTGTCTACCATGATTGCAACCAAAGGCATCTCTTGCTGTCGTGTAGAGACTTCATCGTCGGCTACAGCGATCGCGGTCAAATCCTCATCTCCCGTGGTGACGGAAACATAATCTTTTTCCGCAATCGTAGCAAATCCTAAATATCCCCCGCTGAAAGAGAAACGTCATCGCCGTCTTCTGTGATAGCGTCAAAATCTTAAATACCTCACACGGTCATGGAAAAATTAATATCGTCTCCCACTATTGCAGCAAGGCAAAATCCTCGACGTCTCCCGCGGTCGCGTGGACATCATTATCGTCTTCCGCAATCATGGCGTAATATATTACAGATATTACTCCTGCTACGTTAAAACTAGTGCTGAAAATAAGAGTTAAGTGTGTGTTAAGTTTAAACAATCACTAGTTTTAAACAATCACCTCTCTTAGAGGTTACGTTCTTGTTTATAACCACTCATACAGTATAATCAGCTGGATGGTGTCCGGTAAAACTCCTTATTAACAGTACTGGGTCCCCCCGTCACTAGCGCCGCGTCGCTAACACGACCATCCGCGTTCGCGTTGGCATTGGTTGGCAGCGCCCAGCATCTGGCCAACGCGGATTCACCGGCGACATTGGGTAGCGTCCGTACGGTATGACTAGCTCCATAAGAACTAAAGAACCCCATTTCCGGGTTGGAGACATGGAGAGGCTTCAACACGACGGAATCAACGCTGAGGCAATAGCGCTCCTATGATATGGGCCTAAATGGATCATGATCATGGATCCTTGGTATAGTGGCTATTTTTGTAAAATTCTAGTTCTGTCTGTTCACTGTTCAGTAGTTTTTACATGATTGAGTAACACACACACACAGGTAGACACCATTATATTTTTGTTTACAGTAGTAGTATAGATTAATACTAGCACCCATAATTTGTCACAATGATATGAGAGTATTTGAACAGACATTTTCAAACAATCAAAAGTCTAAAGTATGTTTAGTCATTATATAAACCATGTTAAAATCTGAATAGTAATGTATGATTTTTGTTTCCATGAATGTTTCAGATACTATGGATTCTGTTGAATTCTGCCATATTCTACATCACCTACCAAAAGTATCTTCAACCTCAGTATTTTCATCTTCAGTCAATGCTCGGGGTAAGTTAATTATTTATGAACGTGGCATTTTTTAGCGAATTTCCCGATAGCGAAGCAGCAATACCATAGATGGCAGGTAAGACCTAGACCTGGGACCGATTATTTTTTTCATTTTGGTATCTCCAGAGGCCATAAAACCACTAAGTAAAATTTTTACATGTGTTCGTAAAAGTGACAACTTGAGTAATGTTGGCCCAAATTTGATGGAAGGTGTGTAAGGTGTGGGATAGACTAGAGAGTTTGCGAACCAGCAAGGGATCGTAGGAACAGGGATATCACGGGGTTTGACATCTTTGATTTTGTGTTGATTGGTAACTTGATTGGGGTTTGGAACTGTTCCCTTACAAGTCACGTAAAAATTCCAGTGACGTTAAACACACAAAAAGGAGTAGGCCTAATATAAAAGGGATTGAACAGTATCACTTATTAGGTACAAGGTGGATTTTAAGCTTGTTATTTCTACAACCTCAATGAAGCAGCCTTAAGTTGCAATAGAAAAATATAGATTTGGTTTAGAATAGTAGGCCTATAACCATTTACTTTTAAATACTGAAGTTTATCAATTGGTCTATCAGTAGTAAAAAGGTAACTTTTATAGAATCAGGACCAAATGTTTCTGAAAGCTGTTGGTAAGTAAATTTTTGGTTGGTTTTTTAATTGATTGGAACACACAACTTGGCCAAACAGGCTATGTATTTCTTTTTTGTTGTAACTGGTTTCATACAAGATTAATAACTTACTAATCATGAAGTGTTGTCCCAGAGAGGCCTCTGCATCTCCCGGGCTTCAGCCACAGTCATCAATCTCAACTCAGCCCTCGTGCTGCTCCCTGTCTGCCGAGGGCTCAACTCACTGCTTTACCGCTTACTGAGCAGAGTCTCCAGAACTCTCCTTGCACTCTGGCTCGCTCGCCTCAAGTCAATCCACATCACACTAGCTCTGACCATTGTGGTTGCAGCAGGTAAACTTAATGATTAGGATGTCCGATTTATTTTTAAGTATGGTGGCCCAAATTGGATCCTTAAGTGTCAAAACCATATCAAGACGTGAGACATCTCAAACGAGTTAAGATGCAGTTTCAGCTTATAGTGTCAGTTAATAAGGTTTTTAAATTTATTTGGGGAAAATTCTTAGATCATATATATAGTCTGTATTCAATCCTTTAAACCTAAAAGATAAAATACCCCCGCCGCAGCAAACCTGCAGACTTAGCGAATTTCCATTTGCCTGATTGGATTTACACTAGAATGTCTCCTTAAAAATATCACATTTGTTCCCTATTTAAACAGAATTAGTTTAACGAGTACTTAGGTTTGCTGCAACAGGGAGGGTAAAAAGGTATTTTTTTTTGTAAAATGTAATAGTTTAGTATGAAATAAATGCATTTTCCAAATTTGATTAAAATATGTTCATAAACAAGAAAACTACAACAGTTTTCATTTTCTCCATAAGAATAACATGGGAATTTTAAATTACACTATTTTTGAATTTTCTCCGTGATTGTTAGGCATACAACAGCGCTCCAATATACTAAATTATTTGTTTTTTTAAGGTCTACAAAATGGTTTAGTAAAAATTGTGAAAATTTGTGTTTTTAGGGTCAAAAATGGGAAAAACCTATTTTTACCCCATAAAACCCCCCATAAACCCCCGTTCCCATAGTCCGATCATGCTGGTTTGCAAACTCATTCAAGTTTATCCCGCCTTACACCTTCAAACCAAATTTTATCAAAATCAAACAAAAATTACTCGTGCGGATGGACATATATAGATATATAAAAATTTGAAAGAATGGTGTTTTTGGCCTCTGGGGACATCAAAATGAAAAAGTAAATCGGTCCCGGGCCTAGGTCTTACCATGAGACCTACGGTAATAGCTACTTCCCTATAGGGAAATTCGCTAAAGACTTCCCTATAGGGAAATTCGCTAAATACTTCCCTATAGGGAAATTCGCTAAAAAAAAACAAGAAGAAAGAGCAGAAACATTTGAGCTCGATATAGACAAAATCCTGCTTTAATAAAAATTAACCTTCATGCAAACATAATTTTTTTACAGAGTTTTTTGTTTATTTGGGTTTTTTGTGTAGTTGTATAAAAAATAATCGTAGTTATCCGAGTTTACTTTTTAATTGTTACTTACTTTTCACAAAACCAAATTTTTTTTTTGTTTCTTCTCAAATCCGCTAGCTCTGTTTTTTCTATGTAATGCGGGGATAGAATTTTCTTACTTATAAGTTACTGGATCACTGTGTTGATTTTCTCTTATTTTACCCTTTTTTCATATCTCTTTAAGATAAAATTTGAGAATAGGAATTTAGTCCTGGCAAGACAACCATTCACCCAGTTGCTTTTCAGCAAGTACCTAGGGGAGTGTGAATGAAATTAAGACGCAATATTAAATGTCTCTTTTGTGTGCCCGTTCTACGCACAGGGATCTTGTAGTCAGTTGAAACCTTCTTATATTCAGAACAGCAGTTGGTTTTCGTATATATTTCCAGATTTGCTGGCAAAACTATTATAGGACGTTTGATAAACCTTAGAAAAAACAATACATATAAAATTAAATTCCATGTTGATGGCCCCTGGATTACTATAAATGACCATAATATTGTGTAATAATTACCTCATTAAGTAATCCAAATGTTGTTAAATGACTAAATGAGGTTAAAAACCTAAATGTTTCACCGTTAATAAGGCATCCTCAGGGTACAAATACATAAAAGAAATTACTGTCACATGCACACATTAAATAAACAACACAAAACAAACATGTAGATAGGCCTATCACGTGACGGTCCCGGCGCAGGTAGTAGACTGCAGCTTCAGACTCCTTCCTCATTGTTGTCCACCTTATCAGCAGGACAAAGGTCAGGTGGTCGGTTACTTGGGTTTATTAAAACATTGAAGATAAAGTGTGAACGGAACTGCAGTTTTTCATTGAGGATTTTATGTCCACTTGCGGTGTTGTCGTAGTATAATTTGTAGATTTCAAATAGTGTTTAATTTACTACCTTTTCTGCATAATGTAGCACCTCTAGACCGTCAGCGTTATGAGTAGGATTGGTGACCCATATAATTCTGAACAGTGTACAGACAAAACTCCAATTTTGTTTATATAGATAATTATTAAAATTTAAGTTACACGTGAATTATGTTTAGCATTACCAAGTTAGGTACATTTGTTACAAGTTTTAAATAGCTATATATAATCTGCATAAAATCTGTTTCAGTGGTCCATTCTGCAGCTCACTTTGTAAATTCAGCGAACTTCTCTCAACATTACGATGCTCATCACCCTGAGATAAACTGGGCGAAGTACAAGGGACAAGTTAGTAGAAAACCCTTACAATACATTTTAACATATCTCATTCAAATTAACCTGCTCAATGTAGTTCCGAAATCATCAAAGATAGCTCTTTGAGCCTCATGAATAATTAATTTAATCATGCCTACTTATTTTTATTATCCTCATCTTGGAAGTACACAAAAATTCATATTTTTATCAAACGAGGGATGCATACCATGAAGCAACATGAGTAAAAAACAAAAAAACTCACAAATAATCCACACATCCAATCAACTTTCAACTGAGCGATCCACTGTTTATCACGGTGAGCCTCTCTTACCAAACTGTGCTTCACCAATAATTCTATTGATGAGAAAATTTTATTTTTCCATTCAATAGGTGAGGGAAAACGTAAAAGGTAGGTAATTAAATCAATAAGTCTCTTTCAATCCTTATTTAAGTAGGTGATTATTTCCTTGCACGGGTAGGACCGAGGCGCGCATGGTACCTCTGCGCTCCTCGATTCCGTCTCCCAAGCGCCCCGTCTCCCCGCCGAGCAGGCTATCTGTCACAATCTGACAGTAAAAGCAACGAACTGCGGTAAAGGCGTGTGCCCAATTGAGCATTGTAGATGATCAGCACTGGAATGACGTTAATTAATTAGCTAGCTGTTACGCACAGGCTTCACCCCGTTTGACTTCAAAAGTATTAAAAACTATTGATCGGTTAAGTTATAAAAATACTTCAGACCTAAAAGATGAATTGCTAATTAAATTTAATTCCTGAAATGGCAATCATGTAATGGTTGAATCATCATAATAGTTAGATCTAATTGTAAACTTATGTTTGCTGCGTTGCAAAACTTTAGTCATGTATATTGACTGCTTGTCTTAAATGTGTGTTGTATGACGACCTTCAGCAGAAGCGACCCACATAGCACCGAATATTTATTTGATATCAAATAGCTATCAAATTTTTGACATTTGAATATCAAATTGATATTCACGAACATTCGTTTGATATCAAATAAACGTTCAATTTAGGTTCAAACGTCACTCAATTTTACATCAAATAAATATTCAAATTGAATATAAAATAAATATCAAATTTGACATTCATAAATTTATTGGTAAAATATAATAAAGAGAATATGATTGAATTTACATTCACATTTTAAATATGATGGTGATAAATATTATTTTTGACATTCGAATATTAAATTAATATTCGCGAACATTCATTTGATATCAAATAAATGGTCAATTTAGGTTCAACCTCACTTAATTTGACATTAAATAAATATTAAATTGAATATCAAATAAATGTCTCATACATTTATTGGTAAAATATGTTTAGAAGAATTAGGTTGCATTTTTTCACATTTCAAATTTCATGGCGATTAAAATAATATCAGTTCAGACTTCTTTACTGTTCTTACCTTGATTTGACTTATTATTCTGAAGTTATAGGTAGTTTGTTAAAGTTCTTGGGTGACCCAAAAATGTAAATATAAATATATATTTCTTATTTGACAAAACATTAACAAAAGTATCACAAAACATATTTGTTTAAAACAAAATTGCATTCAAGGAAAACATTTTAAAGAAAAAACTTTGTTTGTATGATAAAATAAGTTTAATTAAAAATTATTTAAACACAAATATAAAAAAGATATGTACAATTTACAAAAAAAATAATTCTGGTCTTCTTCATCTCCCAAACGTCCTTCTTGAGTTTTCTATTGTTCCTGTAAAAGAGGTTCAACAGAGTTATTTTCTAAGACAGCTATAGATAAAATATAATATGTTAGACAAGGGGTCTCCAACCCTTTTTCCTCGGTGAGCACTTTTTTGTCTAAAAACGCCACCGATTTAGCGACTAACGTTAATTGTTCGCTACTCTATCGAATCACAACATCATCTACTATCGATGCGATTGTAGTTGTCGTTTGTCACAAGGTAAAGGCTTTTTGTGATACGGACGAAATGAGAGCATTCTATTATAAAATTAAAATGTCGTAACCTAACCAAATTAACCAAACTTGCTGATTGTGAAAAAATTGAATTAAGGTTTACTACGGACAAAATGAGAGCATTCTATTATAAAATTAAACTGTCATAAGCTAACCTAACTTGCTGATAATATAAAAAAATATACAAGATAAAAATTGAATGAAGATTAGATTTAACAAGGTTAGGTTTGCAGCCATGGAGAAGGTAAAAAGTTTTTTTGAGCATACGTCAATAGTATAGGATAAAGTAAATAAGTTTGCCAAATTTTATCAAAATCTATCCATAAACAAATAAACTACATAGTTTCCTTTTTTAATAATCTAAAATATAGTTCTGTTCATAAAATAAAATTATAAATGCCTCTAATTCTAACGAAAAATGTGCAATTAAGAAGTAATCACATTCTAAGCTAAATCTTTGACAAAAAGTTCAATGATTTTTTAGTGAGAATAGGCTATAAAATTTGACACTTAAAATGTCAGCTAGTTTAAGATTTCAATTTGTAGTTCTACCAATTAGGATCAATTAAAAATATATATATTTAAATTAATCTGCCGCTACTTGACTACTACTAATATTCCCCTAGGCCTATTGAGAAAAAATTAGCAAGTGAGAGACATTTACTATGTTCCTATTTAAATACGTTAACCTGCCAACTTGGAGGGTATTGTACACAAATTTTGTTGAATGGGGAAGAGACAGTTAATTGCTCTTAATTATGGTATGAGCCGCGAGGTAAATAAATATCCCATGGCTGAGCCTGCATTCATTGACAAAGTTCTCTTTTTACACCTCAAGGAAATCACGGTCAACAATGAAGGGTGTTGCTGGGATTGCAAAAGACAATCACGGCACCGTCGAGACTGCAGTATAATATGCTCGTGAGTCTTGGCGAGATCACGGGAGATGATCACGATATAGCTGAGACCACCTGACCACACGTGTTTACGCAATCGTGGGAGAATATAATTGGTGTTTGCTATAAAAAATAATCATTTTCAAAAACGTATGCTGGCTTTCTGCTGGCTGGAATAAAACTGCACGAGGGCCGGATGTAGCTCGCAGGCTGTAGGTTGGAGACCCCTTCGTTAGGCATTTTTAAGACCTATTTTTTTACTATACCTGTACTTTATAATTGAATTTGTCGATAAGGCATTGAGTTCTTGACAATAAAGAAAAAAGAGATGGATAAAACCGCAGATTAAGTTTTGCTCATTTGCATAGCCTGTCACTGAAAATTCACAATTTGAAAAGAAAACATCACAGTAGTTAGATGTCGGCCTAATCTGTTAATTATAATAAAATTTAAGTTCTATATTAGGTAATTAGATAAGCAATCTTTTCTTTAACCTAAATTATAAATAACACAATAAATTTACCTTGCATCAATCCTAAACTTTGCTGGGCGAAGCCAATTCTTGATTATAGTAGCAACAACATATATTTCCATTACACCACGATCCTAGTGTTCTTGCGTACCGGTTCTGCCTCTGTATAAAAGAGATTAGTATTAGCACTAGAATTTGTATATATTTTAATTTTCCTGATCAACACCCAGGATAGCCTACAACTAGGTACACATATTAAATTGTTAGTGAAATCTATTTTATATTTTGATGGCATTTGCTTCTTTTGAGTAGCCTTGTTAAAGCTAAATCTAAATCTGAAAATTGAAAATTTTGACCTAGGTAGTGGTAAAAGTAATCCTCCGTCACTTGAACGGACAAATATTGGGGTGAGCACTGACTGAAATGAGTGCAACGGTCGGATGTAGTTTGGTGTGTGTATAGGCCTATGTGTGCGTTTAAAAAAATTCAACTAATACAGTTTTCTTTTACACAAGTTAGCACTGCCGGAATATTTATATAGTGTAAATCAAAGACTTCCTATATAAGTGGGTCACAAAAAAGAGAAACTCTCTTAACTGTGTGATGAACCTTAGGCTACGTTATTACCCAATAGGTACCTATCATGAATTAGGTTGTGTTTTGGTGGTAGAGCCTAACTTATCTACAGTTCCTAAGAGAACCTGCGATATATTATCGGACGGTATATATATCTGATTTGATATTAATATTGCAAAACCAATTCACCAAATCTGCAAATCATAACTCAATTTGATGTTTACATAGTGAAAAAAACATAGGGAACGATGTATTGAATCGGATAATTATTGATATATAATGTTATTCATCCGATAATATATCGCAGGTTCTCTGCGGAACTGTACCCGTTATGGCAAAAAAGACATACACAGTCATGGCGAATCAAACAGAAAATTGAAATAAAAACACCTAAGATTGAAACTTTATTTTAACTTATTTTAACTTTGAGAAAACCTAATTGAAATATATGTATGTCTACCTATTATTAATGTCTGATTGTAAATAAAAAAAAAAAAACTTACGCAAGATAGCTGGCTTCAGATGCAGATTGCAAAAGAAAAATTTATTCCTCCTTCCCAGCCTACAGGCTGCTAGACAGCCACTTTGTCACTCGGGAGAATTGGTACCGTAGGCAAATTATTCACTGCTACCAAATCCACCAAAGCTGCAGAGTTATCAACTGAAACAATGGAGAGAAAACTAATTTTAGTTAAATTCATGCATACCTTTCTCTGGCCTAAATATGTATCAAGATTAGTTAGGCCTAATCATTGGTTGGTAAAGGAAGCAGACAACAACTAAAATACAAAAGACTAAGAGACAATACAGGGGTAGACTTTCGTATCTGTTGTCAAAAACAACCGAATGAAAATATCGATCGTTATAGCCTATGTTCATTCAGTTGTTTTTGACAACAGATACGGAAGTGTACCCCAATTCAGTTTAAAAGGAAAATGGATTTCAAATAGGCTAGGCTATTTCTTTTATAATACCGGTAAATTGTAACCTGGTTGAGGTAGAATATGTTAGGCCTAGGCTAGCCTAAATTAAGTTAACTTATTCTTGATGGTGAATTTACATAAACTTAAGTTAGTGACTGACGTAAAATATAACCCACATAACTTAGTAATATTTCAAAATTAGCCTAACAAGGTATTTCAACACAGTATGGTATTCCATTTGCCTTGTAAACCAGTAAGTTAGTCCTACGTACTAGCCTATATATTGAACACTATTTTCATCCGGAAGTTGCCCTTTGAAGCTAAATAAACTACTGGTTCAGTAAGAACTAAGCAAGCCGCCTAACTTAGTAGCTTACGCCTAGGCCTAATTAGTATGCAGAAAAATACTTCCTCTAAAACAGATTGCCTATTTTGAGGTTTCAGATTTATCTATTTATACTTAAGTTAAGGTATTAGGAATGATAAGTTGGCCAATTTAATTTGTACAGTAGCTTAACTTAGGTCTAGGTAAGGCCAAGGCCTAAAATACGTCTATGTTACTAGGTATAGTGACTTATACTTACATACTCCAAGGATCAAAACGTGAAAAGATGTTCGGTGTAGGTTATGCCAATACCCAGTCACAAAAATAACAACTCTAAACTAACAGTAACACACACTAAACAAAATATCAGCACACTTAAGTTAACTGATTTGAGGTTATGTCTTGTTCTTGAATCTTGATACTCTTGTTGCTTCCATAGTTTATTTTCACTACTTGTGTAGCCTACTCAACAAGTTAGTTGTCATAGGTACATTTTACATAAATCGTGTACTTTCCCTCAAAAGGGGCAATTTGTTGGTTAATAAATAAATAAATCCACACCGTGAGTAAACTGGCCACCACTGGTCGCGCGACGGATTTTGTAATTTGTTTTGTATTGTAATGTTTTGTTTTGTTTGCTGAGTTAGGTTAGAATTAAGTTGGTGTTTTGTCTTCAGTCTTCCTCTCTTCCTTTCATACGAATGGGCCAAGTCAAGCTCAAACTAGATACTTAACATATTTTTAGAGTTATATTACACTTAAAAAAATTTAAATTTACGTTTGGTTTAATTTACTAGTAAAAATAAAATTATATGGCCAATCGTTAAGAGTTTGACTTTTTTATTAATAAACAAAACTTTAAAAAAAGCTGTGTTTCCTATTCACTCTTCTTGAAATGTGTAGTAAGCCTAGATTCAGAAAAATATCAGATGTTCCAACAACTCCCCCCCCCCTCACCGCGAAAAGTCAAAATCCATCATCAATTAATTAAAAATTACAGTGTTCAGTGTTCCTTCCTATTATTAATTATTGTGAGATAATTAATACAAACTGGGGCCCATTTCATAATAAAGTACAAACTAATATTATTAGTAAATCAGCTGATTGCCCAATGCAAATCTAATGGAAATAACAAGTTAAAAGTTGTAACTTGTAACTTGTAGTTTATTATGAAATGGGCCCCTGTAGGCTGGGGACTAATTCTTTACTCTAAAAAATTTAAAAAGTTAAATCTAAATAATTTTAAAACTAGTATATTTGGAAATTTTCAAAGAGAAAATCAAATTTTTAACATTAAGAATATTTAGATAATATTCTAAATTTGATGTTATTTGACTTTGATATTTTGAAGATACAATAAATATTCAAAGTTTGACATTGTTTGACTTTGACATTTTGAACATTAAATGAATATCAAATAAATATCAAATTTTTGATTTGACATAGTTTGATATATTGAACGTTTATTTGATATCAAATAAATATTCTGTGCTATGTGGGGATGTTCCAGTCCTTGTAATGCCTGATGACAGCTCTAGAGCGTGCCATTGTGCCAAAATTTAGTTGCCACTGCAATCAATTAATAAGACTACCAACAATATACTTATTATTTACCTCTTATATTAGTATGTATACCTCAGTAATCCAGAGGCTACCCATTTTGAAAATTGATATAGGACTACACATTCCTTACACAAAGTCCGCGGAACTGCTCAAAGAACAATAATTAATGTGTTTGTTTTTTAGAAGTCCGACAAACTTTGAGCCTTCTAAGGGGAACTCAATAAGTAATTTAGTCTTACATGTCCAACAACTCAGGGGCAAAATCTATATAGATTTTATTTGTGACTATCATGAGCTTTTCAATTATCAGGCTTATCTGGTTTGTAGAGTTCTACGGTACCCAGTTTAAAGAGTTTGTTATTATTGATAAGTTACCATTTTTGTTAGTTGCCTTTTGTTCGTATGTCCATCATGAACTTGGCAACCTACAAATAAAAGAAACTTAATTATTATCTGTTTGTTATAGTTGACTTTTCATGTTCAATCTATATTCCAGAGTCCTGTTGTCCTGATCCTCAGTTCCTCTGTGGGTCTGACAGGTGTTGGGATGTTACTCATTCTCCTCTTACTGCTCATTCTGTCTCTCAGCTGTGTTAGAGAGAGATACTACGACATTTTCTGGGCCACTCACTTCCTTTTCCTGCCTTTCATGATCTGCCTCATCCTCCATCCCCTCAGGTCGGTATGTATCTTGTTTCTTGTATGCTTTTAGCTCGTTAATATCATAAGCAAAAAAGGATATCTTTGGGATAAACTTCTCCTTTATCCAGATTGTTCATCGTGATGTTCCAGTCCAGTGAGCTGAAAATCCTACCGGACTGAGGCTGTTTGGGACTTTGTCCTCTTCAGCCATACTTTATCCAGAGAAATTTAATTACTTCAAGGGGTATTTAAAATTGTTGAGTTGCCCCCAAAATTGCCTATTTTGGTTTTTTAAACGAAATTGGGATTTTCTCAATAACATGTACTGTCATGCCATATCAAGGTGTATAGAGTTTGGTTTTCCTGGAGTAGCCCATTAAAAGGTTAATGGGGGTGTCAATACTTTTGCCCAACCCTGGTTTGATTGTTGAAAAAGAGAACACTCCACTACTTTCAGCCTTATAGTTAGTACAAAATTGATACAGATGCTAAAAATGATGACAGTAAAATGATATTTTTTCAATACAGATTATATAACTTCTGTTCAGTTAAACTTAAACCTTTACTTTGTATGTTTCAGTGGGGTTTTGAAAGAACAAAGTAACTATCCTCATAACTTGCTAGAATGTGATGAAGCTTCCAGTAACATGACCATCAGTGAGACTTGCCATGCAAACCCCACCTTTACCTCAATGGAATGCCAGGTGGTAATTTATATTAAAGCAATCTTGTACTTTAACTTTTAAACACCAGGGATCTATATCTATAAGTATACAAGAGGATGTTTGTATATATATATATTTGTTTGGCAGTGATAAACTCAGACACCGCTGAACCGATTGCCACGAAACTTGGTACATACGTGTAGAATTTCATGGAATAGGTTTATACACCATCAATTTCGTGATCCGTCCAATCGGCTCCGCCCCAGTGGCTCTGGAGTTTCCCATGTTAACCTTATGAGAAATGGAATTAATGAATCTTAACAGCTGTTTCAATTAAACAAGTTGGTTCTGTTCTATGATGTTCAATAGCATTAAAGTTACAAGGATTACCAACAGGGTGCAGCACTATTATTTCTTTTACATTCATGACAACAGCTAATTTGCAACCAAAAGGTGAGTGAGCATAGCGAACGAACTTCAACCTGGAGGCGAGTTAGCGTAGTGAACGAGCTAACCTGAAGGCAAGTGAGCGTAGCGAACGAGCTAACCTGAAGGCAAGTGAGCGCAGCGAACAAGCTCCAACCTAAAGGTGAGTGAGCGTAGCGAACGAGCTCCAACCCAAAGGAACAAACTTCAACCGAGACGTGATTGAGCCATGCGAACGAGATCATCTTGAAAATTAAGAAGTTAAACGGGGCAAAGCCTGCGGGTTACAGCTAGTTATTTATAAATTTAAATATCCATATACTGTACCTAAGGTAATAAGGATTTCTCTTTAAGTCCCTTTTTCAGCCATCCTACTTAACAGATTTTTATGATTAGATGTAATTTCAAAGGTTATGATCTAGCCGAGGGATGAATTATATTAACTACAAAGGTAATTTGTTTTAGAGCTCCCCTCCCTAATGTTGAATTTATCCTTAGAGTTCACTTTCCAAGATTTAGTGATTCTGACCAAATTTCTTTATAACAGTTCAATGTTAACAGCTAATCCTTCAGATGAATGTACACAGTCAGATTGTAAACAAGAGACAAAAACGTTTATGAAAATGGATTTTAAATATAGCGATCAGGCTACTTTTTTGATAGTTGAAATCTGATTGAGGTAGGTAATCACTCTTATGCTGTAGATCTGAAAGAAACAAATTTAATTTATTGTAAATTAGTAGTTTTTTCCATATAATTACTGTCCCAAACAAACACAATCTTTTAAAAGTAAAAAGGTACTGGTACTGCATTCATTTTGTCTTGGAAACAAGTTGCGAACCCATATTAAAATGTACAATTTGCTTACAAGTTTCCTTGTACCTACTTATTCTTACAACTCTTTCACAACAAAAATTTTAAAAGCTTTTCATATAAAGTTTTATTCTAAAAAATACCTTTTTTGACAAAAACAAAAAAAATGAAGATATCAAAAAATATAAAAAGCTTGATCATAATTGCTATTTACAAATAATCTACCCCTTCAGTCGGGAGGAGGTAACCTGCTCCCCCTTGGCTGGCGCGTCAGCAAGACCGTGGTGCGAAATGTTTGCCTTGACTGTACTCTTTCTTACCTGATTTAATCCCGACCAAAGTATGAAACCAAAGTATGAATCACTACTGTAGTGTTTATGTGATATGGGATGCAAGGTTTTCTGAGGTCAACTACTAGGTCTGATGGTTATGTTTGGTTTGGTTACGCTAGGTTAGGTTAGGAATACTACCGTAATGTTTGCCTTGGATCATCAGCTTCAAAATCAAAAGAAAACCAAATGTTATAATGCACAATACGTTATTTAATATTTATAACATAATTTGTTGCATAGTGTTTTGATAACTGAATGAGTTGCTGTAATCTATTTAAAGTATATTGCCTCAAATTATTACTTACATTTTATCACACAATTTAACAGTAAATGTCTGAATCTCAATTGCTCAGTGAATATAAATCAAATATATGCACGAAGCATGCAGCACGAAGAGGGCTAGGTCAGGTAAGAAAGAGTACAGTCAAGGCAAAAACTTCGCACCACAGCCTCGCTGGCGCATCACCCATGGGGGAGTAGTTTACCTACACCTTTCAGTCGACTTTTACCTTCCCAATTTATAGGTTGGCTTCTCTAACCAAACTCACCCATGATTAGTTGCACACCATGTGAGGTGTCACTCACTTCTCTTTCGGAACTAACCACTATGTCTCCCCAGGGCTGGTTGTGGGTGGTAGCAGCTCTAGGGATATCCCTGAGTGACTGTCTGCTGAGGTCATGTCGTCGCAACTACTCAGTCTACCAGGTGACTCAAGCTGTAGACATGTCAGGAGGTGTCACTCACCTCACTCTTAGAACCGACCACACTGTGCGTCTCAACCCTGGCCAGGTAACTCTGATTACACTCATTGGACATGTTTCAATTTACAAATTTAGTGCTATATTAGATTGGGCATTGACAGAAGGAATATAAATCTGTTCTTTCAATTTTTACAATACAGTAGACTCCCTCTTATCCGGATACCTTTTAACCGGACATTGGTTTAACCGGACTAAACTCGGGGTAATGACATCTCTTTAACCAGACAATTTTTATCACCACATTGGTTTAACCGGACTAAATTGGCAGGCAGTGGGCGGTACTGAAACGACCGTTCTCGTGGAAAAGATTTGAGACCAGTGATCACGTGTCTAAATACAATGCTCTCCTAAATTTAAGCCAAATACGCTTTTAAACAGTCCGTTTTTACAAGTTTTTCAGCAAAAAAAACCATTATCCGGACTGACCTTGGTCCCGAGGAGTCCAGATAAGAGTGAGTCTATTATAGAATGATTACTAGTTAAGCTACATTACAGTAGAACTTCAATCAGGGTGATTAGTTGGGACTGGGACCCCATTCCGATAATAAAAACTCCAGATTTTGGATCTTTTAATGGTTATCTAAAAAGTTATTTAAAATAAACAAAAAGTACCTTGCCAAATTTAATAAAGTATCTTACAACATAACACCACAAACAGAAAACCTGGCATATAAAATACATATTTTTTCAACTAAGAGGCAATTGTTCAGTTTCCGTTTTCTGTGCCGTCAGGTCTGGTTGACTTAGAGCAGCTGATGTTGAGTTCACCTTGTCATTCCATCCACAACAGACCAGTGAACCTGAGTGTTAAGCCTAACCCGTTGTTGGCCGTACAACTTTGTTAACTGTAACATATGATCTGATTTAATTTTTGTACTCATTTGAGGTGATCCGGATAGTTGGCAATCCCTGATTGAAGTTTAGTTAGTTGTAACCGTATTTTATTTATAATTTTATTTTATTTTAGCAAGTAGAGTTGATTAGGCAAGAAGATCCCTTTCCACGTGTTTCATTAGTACCTTTTATCTTCCTTCTTTATGTTTTTTATGTTACCTTAAAATTTTACAAAATGTTTGCATGTCTTCTAATTTAGATTCTTTCACAGTATGTTCTGCTTCAATGTCCTAGGCTGTCCTCGCTGGAATGGCACCCATTTACTGTTACCTCAGTAAGTACAATAAAGCTACATACAATTAAATCCTCAATTACTTCAAAAGTTCTCATCTATTTGGCCAGCACTGGTCAAGCAAATCGATCAAATCAGCTCTTTTGAACTAAGCAGGCAGACGAAATAAAATTATTTATTACATTATTTTTAGAAACAGCTCATACAATAGTAAAAATGGTTTTTGTTTTATAAAGTAATGTGTTGATTGCTGCTTGTACATTTGTGGTGTGCTTTTTAACAATCGTTAAGACTAATTTAGTTGATGACTCAATTAAACAGTTGACACTTTTTTATTTTCTAAAAAAATAAAAGCGAAACTTGTAACCAAAAGACTTACAAATATTTAGTAACATGTACAAGGGGTGCTTAGTTTTAAATTAAAAGTACAATTTTCTACCCAGCAAGTCTACATAGGCACTTAAACTGTAACTGCATTTAGAAAATGAAAGATAAAAAATTGGTTAATCGATAAATTAAGTTGTGAAATCTAGAATAGAAGCAAGTTATTGTAATCTGTTTGTGTTTATTTATGGTTTTATAAAGGTTTCCTGTTCGACTAGTCACACCTACATCAGTCTGCTTATCCGAAGGAGAGGAGATTGGACTAGTGAGTTAGCGCCGTTGATTTGTATTATTGTTTAGAATTTAAAAAATCATGTATTTGTATTTTAACATAAGAATTCTTTACTTATGGAAAACAATATCATCCAGGTCCACAAGCTTTCATCCACGCAGGATTCAACCCTTTTTTAAATCTCCTATTACAAGTCTCAGCAGCCCATGGATCCATTAATAATTGTTGCCACTTCCTTGTGAACTGCTTCCTTAAGATCTATCACAGTTTGGGGATTGTTAACCAACCTGAGAATTTGTATTTAAAATGGGAATGATATGTCATGGGGTCTAAGTTGAAAGTAAACCCAAAAAATCCGCTGCTTTGCCATAATGGACTCACTATTTTGCTCATAAGTATCGAAGGCAAACATATGGTGTTTACCGTACACTGCTTCATGGATTCTAAAATGACATCATATACAAAAACTAGTGACCCCTTGAAACACTCACAGTCGCACTTATACTAGCCATTTAAAAAACACTGTTTCCTGTCAGACACCTTTTACTTTAGATACACCAACAATAAACAAACTATTTACTGAATCCATGCTCAAAATAGACCACTGAAGCATGGGTGCAATATAATGATCTGTTATCTATATATTAATAGGCAAGCATGTTTCTTTAAAACCTTTTTTCTCAGCTCGTGTGCATCGTAGGGAAATTCTACGCATACCGTTGGAAAGCTATTTTCCTGTAGGTATGCAGAATCCCTTTATAAATTTAAATAGGCTCAAAGATAAGCACAAAAAATGAGTTTAAAAATTTGAAAAAATTAACATGGATCTTATGCGTTGCTATGCTGGTTACGAAATAACAACGAAATATAAACAGAAAATCAAAACAAATGGAGGAAACTCCAATCACATGTTTTATTTACAGTGTGGGGTGAAAATAGATAAGTGAGTACATTACATATTTTTGGTCGAGTTTCGACCACTGGACGACCTCTCGTATTTTTAAATAAGTGACATAGTACAATTAATATTAGATTTGTTTCTGTATAATTTACAAACAATACTCTGTATTTAATTTATTTATTTACAGAAGCAGTTTGTAGACTACTGAGCAAGGCTGGCCGAGATAACATTCTACCTCACTCTGTTGCCCTTCCAAGGTTAGTGCTGTTGTTAACTTACATTTGGCATTATATATTAAAGCATGCCCTTATATAAAAATACTACCTTTTTATGTTGAAGTAGACATCAAAACAGAGGTGAACATAAGGGGGGGGGGGGCGAGGGGCGAAATAATGAATATGAAGAAAAAGTATGTACCGTACTATAATATGAATTATTTATTATGAAATTATGTGCAAAGTCATCGCCGTGGCAGACAGTAATAGTTTGTGCGAGTTCAGGTTGATTCTCAGACCGACTCAAGCTCCCACCCGCCGTCCGGCTATCTTCGCTTTGGAATAGTTAACCCTTCAGTACAAGTGCTGCGGACTCAAGAGGCCGCACATTTGCAAAAAACGCTGAAATAAGTGAATCCACAAGCGAACGACATGACGCGCCATCTACGTTCCACCCACTACCTTTACAAGTACAATGGTGGTGTTTTGACCGTCTTAGCGTGCGTATTGGCCCTGAGCTACGAGGGTGTAAAGTTAAGCGTGTCATGTTTCAAGAGGATGAAGAACAGGCCAGCGATTGACTGATTGGTTTTCAACAGGACATTTTCAATTTGAAATGTTTGTAATCATTTTGAAATTTATTGATATCTAAAATCTATTTACCTATTTTATTTAGATTGAAATTTTGATGCTATATGAACTATATTAGGTATATAAAAGAGCATTTCCAGTAAGAAGTAAGACACTGACTGTCAGTCCGTGCGCGCGTACTGGTGTTAGTATTAGCCACGTGTGTGCTGGAGGGTTAATCTGATTATAGTATTGAAATACTGTTGTAAAAGAAAACTGATGCTCCCGACAAGTATGAATCCTGTTCTATGGTTACCGTACTTTTCTGTAGATAGGTGATTAATGTTGCCAGTTGATTGATCTGTATGAATTAAAGTGGCTTAAGATGTAGAAAGGGTGGATTGGGGAGTGCATAGAATGTAATCGCATATTTGCATGATATTTGTGCATATTTGCAAAACGAGGACGGCAGTAGTGTTCATAAATTCCATCAAGCAAGATAATTATTGGATTTGAGTAAACTTTGCTTACAAATCAGCGTGTTTAAGACTTCCAGGGCCTTTATAGTCTTAGAGAGACATCCGCTAGTTGATAATCTCTCTCGTTCAATTATACTTTGATACGATCTACATGCAGAATTCCCTTAACTAATTTGGGCAAATGAGACTTAAGAAAAACAGCAGTCAGTTACACCATGGAGAAGGAAAACATTCTGCAAATCTTTAAAATCACCTCCAAACTTCTTTCATCCATTACACACATTTTGTAAGTCCTAACACTTTTCTGGATTCATGTCCGTCAAATGGCGATTTACTGCAATAGCAGTTAATGGCTGAGGCAACGCAATAATCTAATTACAGGTCACAAATTAAACTCTATGGGAGCGTTAATTTTTTTAAACGTTTTTAAATACTTTGAACAGACTAGTCGTCCCATAGGGGTGGGAGCCGGCTAGTAGTAGTTGTGGATGATCTAAGGAAGAACTTTATAGTCTCAGATTCGAAATAGCTCTTAAATGTGACAAGAGCTCAATGGAGTCTTTCATTCACTGAAAACCCTGGCATATCCTTCAAAATTTATGAATTATTGTAATTTTAACTTCTGCTCATTGCAACACATTGACAATCAATGTTTTCTTGACCAGGATTCTAGTTGATGGTCCATTCTGCAGCCCTCTGGAAAATGTGGTCAAAGCCCGACTAGCAATCTGCATTGCTGCAGGGATAGGGATCACTCCATTTATTGCTGTTCTTCACCATTTGTAGTAAGTAACTGTAAATCACTTTAACTAACTAATGGTATGTGACATATAACTTTCGTGACTGTTTGCTACTTCACACTCAGTCAAGCAGTTTTTACACAGTAAACTGCTAGTTTCTAGTCTATTTCTAGACAAGAAGACCTTTGCATACAGAAAGTACACTCTTTAAAATCAGCTGGAGCAAATTTAACGAGCACTCTTCCGGCACTTTTTAAATTTGAGTTTATTTTATAGGCTCTAAAAGAAGCAACAAAATAAATACTACAGTCAGGACCACGAAAGTTCTGCAGTTGAAGGAGGAGCCTATTTACCATATGGTTTTGAATGAACCAATGAGAACGTGCGGTGTTGCCAAATCTAATAATACCAGCTAATTTGAAAATATTGCTTGGTATATTTTAATTAGTGTTGTCAACGGGCGATGTGGCAACGTCGCACTAGCCTTTTCTTGTGATTGGCTGCCACCAACTGCAAACTTACGTGGTCCCGACTTTAGACATTTTTGGACAGGCACATTATTTACTTTTACTATTATGGAAAGGATGAAAAATCATACCTTTTGTAAAAAGTTGGAAGTTTTTTTTACACATTTTTTATTTAAGTACCTAGTGTAATTTAAAGAGTATGTTGTGATTGGGTACCTTACTTACCTTAGTATTCCTGGTAGTCAGTATCGGTTTAAAACTTGCGGCTCTTGGCCAAATTAACCCAAGCAGCCCCCTAGTTGAAACTTTTTCAGAATCGCGGTGAAATCGTGGACATCTCCTGCAGTCACAGGACAGGTGCATCATCATCGTCACCCGCAATTGAAACCAAATTGTAAAAATCTCTTACAATTACGGGAGCACCATCATTGTGAGAGCAGCAAATTATTAATTTTGGAAGATGAATGTTTTCAAAATGCTTTGGCCCCTTACTGCTTTTGGCCCCAGTGGTGTGGCAAAAAGTATCGTACTACATTCATCTGGGAAGGATTTAACAATACTAGCATGAAGACCTGTACTTGGCACTAGCACCATAAACACTTATTTCCTAGCCATGTTTTGCAATATACAAGTAAACAACTACTACATCAGTTGTTCATGTTATTAATAGAAGATGAGACAGTTTTGGACTATACATTGGTTAGTACTGTTGAATATAGTGTTTTCTGTGATATTCATGCATGATTTATGTGTTTGCAGTAAAAGTGACAGTGTGAGATGGGGTCAAGAGAGACCACATCATCTGCACTTGCTCTGGGTAGTGAGGAGTCAAGATCAGCTGACTTGGACAGCAGACTTGATAACTCACCTCCATCACAAGGTAGTACCACTGACTATTAGACACTGTTGTATTAATAGTCAAAGGTATTACACAATCTATACTGTAACCCACAGATGGACAGGTCCTCAAAAGTTTCAGGAATTTTTCGGGAAAAATGTACTTATCATCTTCATAAACCACCATAACGGATGAGCCATGTTGGCATAGAGTATGGATCAGTGCAATAAGACAGAAAATTGATTTTGTATCTTACTGTAGCCATCTCCAAGATTATAAAGACAAACTTAGTTATAAAAGTAAAAAAGTTTAAAATCCCCCCTTGAATGCCATGAATATAAATATAAGTCCCATCCCAAACTAGTACAATCCTTTAAGCCTTTACTTTTGATGCACGAAAAAGCTGATAGTTGATTGGTCACTGGATTGTCACAATAAATAACAAAGGTAACTGAGTAACGAATTGAACTGACTAAACCTTCAAATGAAAATGTCAAGGTGTATATTTTCCTAAAACTTTAAAATAAATTAGATTATACAAAAGACAGCCGAATAATTGGTTTACAAAAGTAAGAACGGTTCTACACACACATTAACATATATTTTTGTCATATTAAATGTTTGAATAAAAAGTTGAAAGTGTCACATGAGTTTTTTTTTTACTTTTACAGTGTTGGTCCAGTAACTACCCTGACAAGTTTGACTTTTCCTTGTACATAACTAAAGGAAATACACATCAGGTAATGAAATTTAATCCAAAATATAGAAAAAAATCTGTTTATAAATCTAAGCATTTGACATTAATTTTAAAGTTGATAGGTATTTATCTGAGCATGGTACAATAGTTATAGTTACTGTTTTATTTAACATGCAAGAACTCAATGATCAATGACATATAAGAGTACGTTTAAGAATTCCAATTTTAGTATTGAAATAATATTTTCTCTTAGAAATTTTTGAAAAATATAGTAGGAAAAAGTTGTATAAGACTCTACAGCCTACCTCTGTCAACAGGGTTCTCTTTCACTCTCAAATTTGATTCAAAAGAGAACATATTTTGGTCGTCCAAACTGGAGGAATCTATTTTCAGAGTGGGCTCTTCTATACCACAAGTGAGTATGTGTAAGAACAATTTTTCATCATTCTGAGACTACTTTTTTGTTACAGTAATTTTCAAAAAGCATGTATAATATATACAGGTAAAATTTCAAACTCAATATTGTAGCCTACTTTAATTGTATCTCAAAAACCGAATCTGTAAAATAATAAAAAAAAAATTCCAAAAGGTTTACCGAGAACAAAGCGCATCTTAATGCATTGGGGTAACTGAGACAAACCGTGTGGCTTGGCTACCATTAAAGGTTTTTCCACATTACTTTGGGGGCTGGCCCAGGAATTAAACTCAAAACTCATACTAAACAAACTAGGCAGACCTATATTCTCATCTTTAACAAGAATACAATAAATAAACAATTTTAAAAAAGAAAAGAAAATAATATCTTTAAATAGAGTAGAAATTAAATCAAATAGACCCCGCTTCTGCTAGGGATAGACTTTTATCCCTAGCAGAAGCAGGAGAGATGAAGATAATGAGCACATACTTCCCACGGAAAGCTATCCACAAAGCGACATGGATGCACCCAAACGGTACAACACTTAACCAAATCGACCATGTTCTCATAGACAGAAGACACCACAGGAACATCACCAATGTTAGAAGTATCATAAAAGCTGAGTGTGGTGTAGATCATTGTCTAGTGTTAGTTACCATTAACCAAAGAATAGGAGTAGGAAATAGAAAGAAGAATGAAACGGAGAAAGTGATTGCTACAGAAAGAATCAAAGAAAAAAACATCGCCAGAGAATACAAGATAAAACTGCAGAACAGATTCCAAGTTTTGGAAGAGGAAGAAACTGAAGAAAATGTAGAAAACCAGTGGAACAGATTGAAAAATTCTATTCAAGAATGTGCCCTAGAAGTGTGTGGACAGAAGAAAAAGAAGAAGAAAAAACCCTGGTTTGATGAGGACTGTAGAGATGCGGTCTACAAAAGAAAAGCAGCGAAAGGAAAGTGGTTAAACCAACAAAACTTAAATAACAAAGAAAATTATATCATGCAAAATAGAGAAACAGTCAAGATTCTTAGAAAGAAAAAACGTGACTGGATTAACAGCCTGATAGAAAAAGCGGAACAAGACAGAACAGCCAACAACAGCAGAGACTTCTACAGGTCAGTACGCTGCTTCAAGAAGGGGTTTACACCCAGCACATTTGGGATCACCGACAAAGATGGAAACATAATAATAAATAAAGAAGAATGTTTAGATAGATGGCGAGAATACTTTATGGAGTTACTAAATGGAGACTTCCAAGAAACAATCGAAGAGCCTGTTAAATATGAAAATGTACAGCCATATGTTCCAGAACCCACTTTAGAAGAAATAAAAAACACAATCAAAAGCATGATAAATAATAAAGCTCCGGGAATAGACGGAATAACCATAGAATTACTAAAAGCGGGAGGAGACGGACTAAGCAGACAAATACATAAACTTATTCTAAAGATTTGGGAACAGGAGACAATTCCAAAGGACTGGCAGGCTATCATAATCCCAATATTTAAAAAAGGAGACAAGCGTAATTGTAACAATTATAGAGGAATTTCATTGTTAGCAAGCACCTACAAAGTACTCTCAAAAGTAATACAGAGGAGACTAGAAGAGTATGTGGAAACAATCATTGGAGAACACCAGGCTGGTTTTAGGGGAGGAAAATCAACAATAGATCAAATCTTTATTCTAAAAGAATCAATTGCCAAACATTGGGAATATAACCAAAATTTCTTCTGCTTATTTGTGGATTTCGCCAAAGCATACGACAGCCTCAACAGGCAGCGTATATGGGAAATAATGGAAAGTTTTGGGATACCGGAAAAACTAATAAGGTTGTCCAGTTTAAGTGTAGTTAACTCAAGATGTAAGGTCAAAGTAGAAGGAGAAATGTCTGACGATTTTGAAGTGGATACGGGAGTTAGACAAGGTGATGGACTTTCCCCCACTCTATTTAATATAGCCCTGGAAGACTCTCTGCAAAAAGTAAAAAACTTTAATATTGGAATCAAAATTGGCAAATCCTTAAACATTTTAGCCTTTGCAGATGATTTAGTTTTGATGGCAAAAACCAAACAAGACTTAATAGACCTCACAAAATTACTAGTTTTAAACACGGGAAAAACAGGATTAAAAATAAATGACTCAAAGACTAACTATATGATAGTAGGGAGGACCCAAGAAGACCTTAGGGAAGATGATTTTCTGGAAGTTGGAAGCCACAGATTTAGAAGAGTAGATACATTTACATACCTGGGTACCGTAATATCAGGACAAAGCAGAGAAGATCTAGAAGTACAGAATAGACTTAATGCCGCGAACAAAAGTCTCTATGCCTGCAATAAATTAATGAGCTCAAAATTATTATCCCACACAACAAAATTACGTCTGTATAAAACAATAATCCGTCCAGTAATTTTATATGGCTCAGAGACTTGGATCCTGAACAAAAAAGAAGAGAGAAAAATAATAGTTTTTGAAAATAAAGTATTGAGGAAAATTTTTGGCCCAACGCTAGAAAATGGAGAGTGGAGGAAGAGGCACAACCAGGAAATAAGAGAAATGTACAAAAATGCAGACATCATCGGAGAAATAAGAAGTAGGAGACTAAAATGGGCAGGACACATACTAAGGAGAGAAGAAGAGTCAAACCTGAAGAACATTCTGAGGGGAACACTAGAGGGACGAAGACCCAGGGGACGACCAAAGACTAAATGGTGGAACCAGGTGAACAAGACATGAGGCGGCTGGGAATTGGAGAGGAGGATGCTGAAGAAAGAGACGGATGGAGGCGCTGTGTTGCTGAGGCCAAGTACCGACTGGGGTACAAATGGCCAGGGCAGTAGTAGTAGTAGTAGTAGTAGACCCCGCTCTGAATGTTTGCACTGGGGCATAACCATAGACAAAAAGAATTAAATATAGACCATCAGCTGTGCTGCGGTTACCATAGGTAGGTCTGTATGGGGAAGCGATCTGGTAGAGGATTGTAATTCAGCCCCCGAGGTCTTCCACTCTATCCTTATTTATAAAATAATTGCTTAACAGCTGATCAAGCAACATGCATTAAGGACAAAAAAAGTGGTGGGTTAACTTCCTCTCAAACCACCTAAATATTTTGAACCGAGTATAAGATCATAAACAAAAAGAAGTAGATAGACAGACCGTCAGCTGTGCTGCGGTTACCATAGGTTCTGGCGCACACCGCTGGGAGCGCCTTGTAGTTACAGCGTACGCTGTACGTAAACTACAAGGCGCTCCCAGCGGTGTGCCAGAACCTATGGTAACCGCAGCACGGCTGACAGTCCATATTTAATTCTTTTTGTCTATGGCACTTCCCAAACCGAGTCTGTTTACAATAGATCTTTTTACCCAGTAGCACAATTCTTCATTGCTGCTTCAATACCTCCTATTTATAAAGTAATCTCTCCTAATAATGCATTGGTTTTGTGTTACTTCAGGAAGGAGGTGTCAGTTTTCACTTGTGGGCCTTCCTCACTGCATAGACAAGTCAAGTCTGCAGCACTCAAGTTCAACAGCAAGGGAACTCGCTTTAATTGTGTTCAAGAATCATTTTCCTAAAATTTCCCACATGATTCAACCAAGCCAGTATTATTATTCTGTAAATATATCTTAGTGTTGTAAGATTCATATCCTAGATGCGTTTATTAGATATCTGTGATAAGTTGTGGGTTCAAAGTTCTGTTGAACTTGTGCCATTTATCCCTGTAATATTGTAACGTGTGTGTGTAGGTAGATAAATTTAATATGAAATAAAATTGTAAAACAAAAGAGCCAGGGATAGTATTGAAACCAAAACATTGGTAGTTTATTTACCACTTCCCTGATTCAAACACGTCTTTACGTTGTTTGGTAACATAATGCTAACTGCTGATCCCTCCGTGTTCTATTTGGATCTTCCTCAGCTTCAGTCCAACAGTATATTGATGGATTAGTCAACACTAAAATCAATGTAGATTCAATTTTTGTCTTATTATTAAAAGAAAATGGTTTGGTTAACACTCACTGTTAACACTCATCAAGTAAAAGGTAGATAATGCTTATTTAAAGGCAGGTAAGGATGAGCTAGAGAATGGGTGGGAGGTGGGATGTATTGTGTGTTGATACTGACTAAAACCAGCTAATGTTTTCAAATGAGAAATTTCATTCTTTGTGTAAAAAATCACTTGGATTTGGAATACACTAAGAAAGAAGGAATGAATAGACAAAAATTGGAAATGCTCCTTAGTTGAAAATGGACCATGTTGGGAATGCTCCTTAGTTGAAAATGGACCATATTGGAAATACTCCTTGGTTAAAAATGCTGTCAAAGATAGTGAAATATTCTAATGTTTTGTGTAAAGTGTGAAGTTTACTGTCTCTCGTGCCAATTGGACTCTTTCTCATTCAGGTAAGACTGATACTCTAAAAAAAAATCCTAAAAACCTAGGCCCTTTTACTTTATCTTTCATCTTAAAAATAATATTTGGTGTAGTTCACATAAATTACTAAGGAAAATTTTGATTTCCATAACCATTCATTTACCTTTGTTTATTCCTCAGATAATCTATCACTAAGAAAGAAAAAAAAACAACTACACAGTTCAGGATAAAAAATGTACAGTAATGTATAAAACGACTTTTAATTCTTAAAATATAATCACACAAAATAAAAACTAATGATCGATGATGATAAGCTCATCAATGCCCCAGTCCTCGAAGCTGTTGTCGGGTAGATATCTTCTGATGATGATGGGGATCTTGCGCTGCTTCAGTTCTTTCATCGCTATCTGCAGCGGATCTGTTTCCCCCTCCAGCTCCACCATGACTGGAGCACACATCGCGATCTGTAGAGCTCTGGTACCCAGCACACGTGCTCTCTCATACCTGAACAACCGTCATTTGTAAACAGAACACTCATAACACTAGTTTGTATGTAGAGGTGGGGAAGAATCTGTGGGATCTAAGCTTAACCTATTTTTATTTTTAACCCTTGTTTGTTTCAGGCTCTCACGTGTAACCTTGTAGGTAAGCAGGGTGAACCTACTTAGTTTATTGCTCGCATAATCAAGTAGTTTGTGGCATTCTAAGTAGTTATTACCCACAAAGTCACGTCAAAATTAACTTATAACAGGTTACGTACCTTGACGTACATAATTCCTTAGTCGATATCTATGACTAGTTTTGACTACTACATAGTCATTATCAAAAACGGAACGTTAAAATATTACATTCATTGAATGAATGTAGTCAAATCTTAAATACATCGGACACACAAACAAACATAACACAAACACGGTAGACATTTAACATAATGACGTTAAATTTCTACCGTGTTCGTGTTATGTTTGTTTGTGTGTTCGATGTATTTAAGATTTGACGACATTCAATGAATGAACGTTCCGTTTCTGATAATGACTACGTAGTAGTAGAAACTAGTCAACGGATATTGACTAAGGAATTGTGGACGTCAAGGTACCAGTACGTAACCTGTTATAATTGATTACCAATTCCGGAAGGCTTCAACATGTAAAAATTATCGACTCTTCACAAACTCCTCTGACTAGGGCAATGAACTAAGTGGGTAGTCTAGGGACACTAGTTGTTCAGAGTTCTGATTAATCAATAGTGAGGCTATCCGAATCACTATCAACTCTTGGAAAATCCCAGCAGCAACCTGACTCGTGCGATTCCTGGCACTTTGTTGATTGTTAAGGTGGCAGAATTTCCTGCGCTACCATATGAGTGTTCGCCGGCAGGAAATTTGTGTCACAACTGTTTCAGGAATTTGTTGTTGCTCACAGCTGCACGACTGCTCAACGCAATGCAACGCTCTAGTCAACAACTTTTCGATTTGGCTGTGGGTTGGCCAGACGCAGGCGTTATCCAACTGAACGGTTGTTTAAAGAGGCAGTTGTATTAAACTGTTACGCAGCTGTTAAGTCGTCGTTGTTGTACCGAGGTTACCTAAAAAACAGATTTCTTTCTTATTGTTTCTATCGATTCCCGTTCTGTGTGGCAAATAATTGGTGACCTGTGTCTTTGTAGTGATACCGGTATACTACAACCATTGGGGCATAGTGAGCTTTTCATAATCCTTGGTTTAGACATACACCTCGAATCATCGGATTGGGCGAATCTTTTAGCTAAGTGGTTGTTAGTGTATCCCATGAACATGCAGGTCACCAATGGCCGTTTTGCTACTTTTTGTTAAAATAATCTTCCTCTCTATATCCCTTAGAGATTTTAGTAAATGCCGATTTATCGCCGCATAGCACTCAAAGGGTTAAAGGCCAGCTGTTCAAGCAATGTTTCTAGTAATATTATAATACTTAATTGTTCCTGTTGCGCTAAACAAGTACTTGGTTTTTTTTTATTGTACATAAAAATTCTATAAAAATTTAACAAATTGCTAAATTAGGTCTACACTCAGTAGGCCTAATCTTTACTTCACATCACTTACTTTGTCATATACTTTGTTGTAATCCTGTTTGACTTCTGTACACCGCCTCTAGCATCCTGAGCATTGAGAAGTTCAATATTCTCTCCCTCTTCCTGCAACAGAGAATGTTTTCACCGATTATTGCATTTTCCCCAAAGACTAGATGATTGCGATAACACATTATGTATAGATATGCTATAGAAGAATAATGTGATGTTTTGTAAAAACAAAAAACTACTAGGTAATTTACAATATTTAAAATATCTTTATTCTAACTTTGTACCATAAAGACTGTACTTTGTACCCCAACGATGTTATTACTTAATACATTACTTTAATACTTTCTTATTAACTGGCGACCATACAAAGTAGGTATTTTAAGTCAAATATGAATGTACATGAGTGTAGGATGAGTGGCGCGATCTTGTAGTCTTGTTAGTGACTAAGGCCGACATTCCTTAGACACAGCTGTTAATTAATAGCCCATACAGCTAATGGCAACTAAGGGACCTACATTTTATCGTGGAATCCGAACCACATTTTTGCCTTGGTATAGGCTATACGAATTAGTCTAATTATCAGGATAGTTCTGCGGATAGTCGTAGTACTCACTCGTGCGGACGTTAATCCACACCAGGGAGTATTGCATCCACAGTGCATGCCTATAAATATCCACAATTTGTGACAATATTTTGTGAAGTATGGGCAAAGCAATTTGTACTTTGTACTTACTTTTCTGTAACATCCCTTTTTCCCCCTTCTACTTAAAAGGGTACGTCCAAAAAGTCCCAGGTGGTTACATGTATATTTTCAGAAACATTTAACCCTCCAAGTGTCCATAGTTTAGGCCTTAATGTCCACCTATTTTTGGCGCATTTGCAAGGTTTTATTAAAACGGATCTGAGAAGCTTAAAACAATGTTAATTCTAATGTTCTATATACCATTTTGTTTGGAAAATCATGGGCTTCAATATTATATATAAAACATAAGGAACATTTTTTCAAAAAAAAATTTTTAGGTAAAAAAAAATATAATTTCGAAAATTTTCAAAAAAAAAATAAGTTCACGCTCAATGAAATTGTATAAATTATAGGCCTATAAATATTTGAAAATAGCCACTTTGTTCTAAATTTTATGAGGATTACAAATATATAATAATATAAGGAAGTAGATTTGCAAATAAATAAGTTATGGGCAAAAAACAGATTTCAGTACATAGCGTTTAGCTAAGAATGCATAGCCATAGCCTAACCATAGCTAGGAATCTGGCTGATAATTTACATCAATATCACTACCTACTTCTTCAGGATCATCAACCAGCACTTCAAAACCACTTAAATCTTCTTATAATGCAACACGTATATCACTACTTTTGATTTTTAACACTAAAACAATGATAAACGTAATAAAACACATCAGTCATCGGTCGGAGGGTAACCTAGCTGTTTACAAATACACGCACGTCAGCTGTCTGCTACGTATTACGATCGGCTCAGATAATGTACAGCGCTGAGACAGACCTCTGGAGAAAGCTTAGAATGAAACGGAAAGAACGATACCTAACTCGATCCAGTTCAATCCGATTCAGTCAGTTATAGAGCCTTCGCCGTAAATGATGTCTGCTTGTCGAAAAATCGACAAGTAACACTACACAAAGTGTGCTGCTTGTCGAATTTTCGTCAAGTAACACTGGGAGGGTTAAAATAGAGCTACAAAAAAAATTTAAATCTACTTGATTACATACCAGCTGTTACCCACGGGTTTCAACCCGTTTGACTTCATAAGTAATAATAAAACTATTAATTGGTTAAGTTAAGCTGAAATATACAAAACAGAATACAGTAGTACAAACAAATAATCACACCTGATTTTAATAAGGTAATAAATTAAAAGAATAGGCTAACAAATAAATAAGTACAGCTGAAGTATTTTTAACATTAGGTATATGGGAAGTTCCCTTTAGGCCGGCCACACACAGAACCAGGCAAGGCGACAGGGCATTTTGCCCCGGGGCGTCTTGTGCGACGGGAATTGCACGGGCGCTTATGGAGCTCCACACACAGGACCGGGCGAGGCAGGGCACGTCGAAAAGATGCCCCCGGGCGCCCTCAGGGCAAAATGCGAAGGTCTCCAAAATTATGCCCCGAGGCAAGTCGCTGCCGGGCAGAACTTTCTGCGCATGCGCGGTCATGTGATTTATTCCCTTACGGGCTAATTTTGATAAGGATTATTTTACAACTGATACAATTTACATACAAGACTGTAACAATTTATACGACCAAAGATTACACCCTTTGATAAGACTATGTAGTGATGATATTACTACAGTGGTTGAATAACTAATAATTTATCTTGGTATTGATAA